TACAAAGTCCAATCAGTTTTCTGGTGACTTTATAAAAGCATGGGCACGTAAGTCTAGCTCAACTTGACCAAAAACTCGATCAGCTGGCATAAACGAATGGCCACGAACGGGAAATGTCATCGTAAGTGTTTGAATAGTTTTTGGGGCATTATTCAAAAGCCACAAGGTGAGTGCATGTACCATGTAGGAATTTTTATTTTGACCCCCACATCCGTCCGAAAACAATCTTAAATGTTTAATATCTGGGTCAAAATTAGTCTTTTTTAGAAAGTCGGTCAACGCAGAACTTTCTACCACACCTCTTCCTGCTTCATGCTCAAGCCATGTATAAAAAACAGGAGTTTTTGTTAAAATATCTGTCACACAAAATGCATAAAAAGCCAGTTGCTGACAATAGAATGCTTCCGTAATAGGCGCCTTTGGAAGATTTTGGACTTGTTGAAGATCAAAGCAATATGTCACGCTATCAGCAGATTCCTCTTTCATTGATTTAAAAAAATGCTTTGCTCGCGTCTTATGAATAGTTAAATCCATTTTTAATTTTAATCTTTGCTCTTCATCCTTGGTGGTATTTATCTCAGTGTTTGTTCTTATGCAAAAGCCACAAACATCAGTAGCTGGACTTCCAAAGGCTAAAACAAACGGGCAACTTAGTAAAAAATAAAAAACATTTTTTTAATTATATCTACCTATATTAAACTTATTGCTGAAAATTCGACTAAAGTACTTGTAGTTTGTTTGGAGTGAATTATCTGGAATCTGATCATTATACATCTCCCACAGCCTTTTTATGTTTAACTCAGATGACATATAGATTCTTCTTGACTTGCCTCTACGATAGTGGCTTTCATGGCCCTTCAAAGACGAAATAAATTTCGTGACACTTTCTAATTTAAGCGCATTTTTCTTGGACTTTCTGTCTCCACCACGATTGTCTTTTATACTAGTGCCAAGCATCTTTTTTCTTACTACCGTATGAATTCTTCTTGGACCACAATTAAAAATAGAGGAAAATAATTTTTGGCAAACAAAGATTTTCTTGCTATTATGCCAAACCTAAAAAATACTCAATCAGAGACCTTACAAAGTGTAATCGAAAAATAAATATGTACTGATGCTAAAGCTTAGTTTATTTAAATAAAAACTTACATAAAATTCTGTGTGAAAATCATGTGATTTACCATTCTTTCTCTTCCTTTGCCTTTTTATTTCCTTAATATTCATCATCTGTGCTAATTTGTTATCCTGAGCATTTTTGTTCTTTTCTTCATTATCATAGAAATTTTGTCTAATAATTTTTATGTCGGCCAACAAAAGATCTGTACATGCAAATTTTTTGATTTGTGAACACAATTATTTTTAAAATTCAATAACTCTGGATCTAAATCTGAATATCTAAACGAAAACAAATTAAACCACAAAAACACAACATAACCTGTAGTTTACCTTATTTCTCTCTTACTTTCTTTTGCCGTAGTATTTATTTTTCTTTTTCTCGTTCCTCTATTTGTATCACCTACAATATACTCACCTTCACTCATTTTAATACTATTATCACCTATTATTATTATAAAAACAACCTATTAAGCACGAATAATATCAGATACTGTTGATTCCTAAATCAACGTCTCAGAGCAAAATAAAGTCGTTAAATAGTAAAAAAGCAATGCAAGCAAAATAGCGCTATTTGTTTGTCTCTCGCTACTGGACAAAATGCGTTTTGTTTGTCTAAGTGGTTTTTGAAGCCAAAAATATACGTGAAATATTACGTTTAGAATATTTAGGAGTATGTAAATTAATAAATGATGTTTTGACTAATCCAACGCCACCTCTAAGTCAAAAAGTGAAAATATGGACAAAGTGCGATTTGAAAGTCTGCTCCTCAATAATGTCTAACAGTAATTAATCATCAACTTTACTCGCTCTGTTACACCAAATGAAACTCGGGAGTGCTTTTGAGGTTTATTGTAAAATATTATTGCATATACAAGTTCTAAAAACTAGGGGCTGATTGAAAATGCCTGAAAAAGTTAAAGAAAGGCCGAAAGATATTTATGCGATTTTAAGAATTTCAACAATGCTAACAGCACGAACTTTTCTACACGAACCGATCTACAATATTTTTGTACAGCTATGAAATAACTGAATGTGTTTGATTTATTACACTGCCTATTTCTTTTACAAACTTTAATAACCTTACGAGAAGTTTGTGTTATGTATAATATTATTGTGATGTACTGTAACAAATATATGTCAATTTGACAAAGACTCACAATAGTTTTTTTTACATCTTACACAATATCAGATGCAATATTATTATACAAATTACTTCTATACATGTTCCAGATATATTTGGTAAATAATATTCATTGACACGTGTCTACTTTAGGTTTATTATTAAAAGAAGAATCAAAATTTGAATCCAATCTGTAGAGTTAAATATTGATCCACAGTACAATTTAATGAATATTAATCTGTCTATGTCCGAAAATACTTTTCAAAAACAAAATATTTCAATATAAAAAAAAATCTATATCCTGTTATCATATCACCTGCAACCCAGCATACCGTTGATCCTGATTTTCATAAGCGAATTTTGTTTAGCGATGAAGCTCACTTTTGGTTGAATGGCTGTGTCACAAACAAAACTGTCATATTTGGAGTGAAGATAATCCTCAAGTGTATCTTGAGACACCATTACATCCGGAAAAAACTGACTGTTTGGTGTGCTTTGTGGGCTGGTGGAATCATTGGTCCGTATTTCTTCAAAAACTATGCTGGTCAGAACGTTACAGTCAACGGTGACCGATATAGAGCCATGATTACTGAATTTTTTATTCCTCATTTGAACTACTGTGATGTGCAGAAGCTGTGGTTTCAACAAGACGGCCCAACATGTCACATTGCTCGTGCCACAATTGATTTATTGAAAGTAACCTTTGGTAACCGCATTGTTTTACGTTTTGGACCTGTGAATTGGCCTCCAAGATCGTGCGATTTAACACCGCCAGAATATTTTCTGCGGGATATGTGAAGTCGCTAGTCTACGCCAATAAGCCTGAAACGATTGACCACTTAGAGAGTAACATTCGCCACGTTATTGTCGATATACAACCACAAATATTGCAAAAGTCATCGAAAATTAGATCTCCAGATTAGACTACGTCAGAGCCAGCCGTGGCGGTCATATGCCAGACATCATATTTAAATTATAATGCCAAAAGATTAGCTTTTGAATAAAGTCAATTTCATGTTAATTTAAAAAATGATCTTTGTTTTATTCCAATTCAATACCTCTAAAAAAACACCCTTTATTTGTCCCAGGTTATATTCTATCACAATTGTGTTATACATGTAACTGTATTAAACTAATAATTTTTAAATGTAACATTAAATTGCTAACAAATTACTTTTTATTAAATTGTTATATATTTTTTGCAGCAAAACACCACCTCAAGCCAATCTGCAAGTTATAAAGGTCTTCAAGAGAAAAAAGGATCCGAAAGCGATAATAAATCGGGAGATTCAAAGAAACCTCGAACTATACACATAGATGTTTACTGTACCGGTACTGATATAGAATCTGACAGTAGTTCGTCATCATCCTCATCAAGAAGTAAGACTGTTTCTACTCCACAGACTGTATTTGAATCTAAAACAATGTCTGTTACACATCAAAATGCTGGCGATAAAAGTGTACCATATAATCTGAAAAAGTCTAGCAGTACCATTAGCAAAAACTCGCCGTATCGGCTGAGTAAAACTAACAGCACATCGCTTGACAAAGAAAATTCTGATGAGGAAGATAGTATAAGTACGGCTTATCCTTCAAAAGTGAGCTCATACTCTACAATCGGTCGTTCTTTGTCTAGTATGTCCAGCTTTCCCAATTCTGCTACCCCATTTTCTATGTCTTCCTGTACAGTACCTGACTACGAATCATCCATTGGAAACACCTCTTGGAAAGACACATATTCCGATATCGACAGTCTACTACACAGTCGAAGCACTATTCCTCAAAACGATAGTCTATATTTTGTACCACGAAAGATAGATGAAGAAACCAGCAGCAAAGGCAGTACTTCAAAATTTACGAGTACCACCAATAGCATTAGTTTACACCCGAGTGATAGTTTCGATTATGCCGATTCTGAAGATAAGTTAAGAATTAAAAGAATGGAACGTATGTGGAAAAATAGAGTGCAGCATGGAATAAACACTCAATCAAAAAGTAAATTGTTACAGCAACAAGAAAATCTACAAGAGATTGTGAATAAAAGACTGAGTCGCATGAACGTCTCACGATCGAAAGATTCTGATTCTGATGCTAGCGACAAATCCGAGAAAGGTTGGACTATTTTAAAAAATGAAGAAACTACTCATACACCGTCTCAACAACAACCTCCCTCGGATAAAGTACCTACATCACCCTTGTATAAATCCCCTAGTGCAATTATAATTAAAGAAAGACTGAGTTTAGATCCTTCCTTGGGTGCCCCGTTTACTATATTCCCCGGTCAGTACACAGAACCAAGGTATATTGCCAGAAGATTCGGTCCAGTTATAACAGTTTTCAAAAAACCTGGACATCACATAGGCCCTGCGAAAAATCCCAGTTGTACGTGTGACCATTGCCGTACATATTTCGAAATATTGGATTTAGAAATAGAACCTATTCCGTGGGTGATACGCCGACTACCCCTTTTTTTAACTGGAAAGGGTTGAAAAAGAATGATTAAATTGTTTTGAAAGCTTGAATGTGTGTTTGATATTTTTTTAAATTATTTTATGTTAGCTGCTACTAATTTACTGTGATCCATAGAGGCATAAATTTTATTATCATTATTATAGCAAAGCAAAACAGGTAAGAATTTTTTATTGTAACAATAAATATTTATTATTCCGTACACTATTTTGCTTTGCAACTTAAATTTGACGCAACCTTTTAAATCTAATACATGCTTGCTGGAATCCAGGTTATTTTTTAACTGCAATTTTAGGCACAGGAAAGTTTGAGAGCCAGTAGTATGAAACTCGATCTTTTAAAGAAATCTTTGGAAATAAGGAAATCGGAATTGCCTGAGGATTCTCCGGTGGCAATACATTTAAAAGAAGAACTAGCAAATGCTCAAGCATTTAGTCCAACGACGATGCATTATACCAGTTTACAGCCATTCAGGGAAGGATCAGAGAACAGCAGGCATCTGACTTCTTGGTCTATGCTCAACAGGTAAGTAAAATTGAATCAAATCGGAATACACCATAGCACAATAGGTTTAAGAATTAATAAAGTCTGAGGCTTCCACGGTTTCTTACCCGGAAGTTTCGTTACCTTTGTAGGTTGCTTCTTCAGTAACACGGGACTCCTGTTGATCACGATAACTTGAGTACTTAACGTATCTAACACCGGTGTGCTACATGGTATGGTGTACCAATGGTATATACAGTATAGGTAAAAGTTTATGGTCGGTATGGACCTTACATGAGATGGAGTGAGAAACAACTGTTTAAAAAGAGAGAGATATATTAGGTGTCCGCCTTTTATATCACCGAACATAAATGAGTGGATATGGAGTGGATATAATAAAAAGGGGAAATTCAATGTTGCCAAACTTATTGGTTTTATTTGACCTGTTGTCTTTTTCGCATTTGAACAATGCTCCAAGATAATGAAATTTGGGCGAAATGGATTTAAATGGCAGCTTATTGTTTTTTATTGGGAATATGTCACAATTTTACTTTACAATAAGTGTAATATATCATTTTGATTTATACTTCGGAAATCGTTTTATATAAATAAAATTTAATAATGTTTGGTATTTTAAAAACGATTTCCGAATTAAAAATCTAAACATCAAAATAAGCTTATTTTAAAGTGACATTATGCCTTATTTCCAATAAAAATATTAAACTGCATATAAATAAAATAGCTTCGTACAAAACTATTTGCCAACGTGGCGTGTCGCGCGGTCAAATCACCGAATCAAGGGTTAAACAGGTATTTACGAATAGAGGTGGGTCATTAACGTCGCAAAACCGATTTTCGTAAACAAGTAACTATGATTTTTTAATAGTAGTTTCAAGTAAGAAACTACCTACATAAACAAACATAATGGCTATTATCGTTTATGTGTATATTTATTGAAGTGAAGGAAACTAATAAAAGATTTTATTATAATTTGAAAACTAAACTAAACAATACAAATAGTAAATCGTACCTACGTTTACATTACACGTTATTATTAAATCACGAATCGCCTAAATTGACATTTAAAAACATAAGTTTTTGTACTTTACTTCTTATTAACCGTGTTTTTCTTTTATTTAAAATTAAACCTGATTTTGTACATGTGTTCACATTTACAATACTTTATGAATATAGTGGTTAAGTTAGGAGATACATGGCGATGGTTTTTCCACCATTGTAATGGACTCTCGCTACAGGTGTACGTTTAGATGAGTCATGTCCAATTAATTGATCAAAAATACACCGTGGACTTAAGTCATCTTTATCGGTTTCTTTTTCTTATACTGGTTGATTTTCAATAGTATAATCTTCTTGTTCTTTAATTATAGAAGTAACTAGCTTCTTAACTCTTTCTTTTGTTTTTTTAGCGTCATTTTTATCAGAAAATCCCTGCACTTTAAATCGTGAATCCATAAACGTACATAATGACAATATGCCACTGTATTCTATCCCTCTAAATCTTTTTGCTAAAAAAGAGATTAGTAATTATCCCGTAATTAGTAATAAAAACCCGTACTACGTCGGATACTATGGATGTAAGGTTACTGTTTGCTACAATTTTATTGCAAGATTTTTGCAGGCAGGGTACCAGAACAATCACTGAACTATCATTCAAGTATTTTTGGCCACTCATTGTACTTGTTATTTCTTTAAAAGACCGTAAAATTTGGGACAATTACGAAAAAATAATCTAGTCTTCATTATTTAGATTTGGTCTAAGTCTAAGTCTGTATTATTTAATACCGATGTGGAACGGAAATACACGCCAGTACACCGAAAATATCAAAATACAGAGAGGAGTCCGCCAGGGTTGCGTGCTGTCCCCACTACTTTTCAATGTCTACAGTGATCGGTATTTTAAGAAGCGCTCTCAGACTCAATAGAAGGTATATCTATCAATGGAGAAGTTTTGAATAACTTACGTTTTGCAGACGATACAGTAATAATTACGGATAACAACAATGATTTACAGAACCTAATGCAACGCCTTAATGAACGCTGTCATGAGTACGGACTGAAGATAAATTTAAAGAAAACTAAATGCATGATCATGACTAAATCTGCACAAATATCCAATTGACTATTGAAGATACTGCAATTAAGAGTGTTAATAACTATAAATACTTAGGAACATGGATAACATCAGATGTAGACCAAACCAAAGAAATTAAGACACGTATTGAAATAGCACGTACATCATTTATTAAACTTAAAAAGTTTCTTTGTTGTCGGGATATAAGGTTAGAACTACGCCTGAGAATGCTTCGATGTTACGTGTTCTCTACTCTTCTTTATGGTCTGAAAGCTTGGACACCAAAACAAGTTCATCTGAATAAGTTGGCCGCCTTTGAATTTTGGTGTTACAGAAGAATCCTACGAATATCATGGATTCAAAAAATGTCAAACATTGAAGTAACTAGAAGGATAGGAAATGAGGCAGAAATAATATTAACTATTAAAAGACGAATACTTGAGTACTTGGGACATGTGATGAGAGGGCAAAAATACGCATTATTACAACTTATTATGCAGGGCAAAATCCGAGAAAAGCGAAATGTGGGAAGACGAAAAATATTCTCGCTTAAGAACTTAAGGGAATGGTTTGAATGCAGTAGTGCAGACCTTTTTAGAGCGGCAGTCAACAGAGTCGGCATAGCCATGATGATTTCCAACCTTCGATAGAAGATGGAACTTAAAAAAGAAGAAGTGAAACGGATTGCCTCTTCTAACTCAGTCATTCTTTTTAACCTGTAATAGGTGAAGTTCTACCTAGTTTCCACGTCTTGGATTGGCCGTTTGGGAACTTTGTTATGTTGTAATTAATACTTTAAAAGCCTTTCTGAAGATAAGGTACTTTTTTTTAATGTTTTTTGCAGAATTGTCGAAAAAAGGACTTTTTATTTTATCTATTATCAAATCAGTTTTGACATAACATTCCTGAAGTAATGAATCTAACAGTTTTTCTTGTTGGCGGTTTATATCCAGGAATCCACCCTGCAAACTTTTTAAAAGCTGGTTCTTCACCTATAGAAAACGGATGAAACGAGTCTTTGCATAAGTTTAGTAAATCAATAAGTTTAGTCAAGAAAAAGAAACTGATAAAGATGACTTAAGTCCATTGTGTATTTTTGATGAATTAATTGGACATGACTCATCTAAACATACAACTGTATCGAGAGATATACAAGAAGTCGACATGTATTTGTCTGATAATATATTACCCACAATACATTTCGAACGGAGATTGGAACTGTCCATTACCGTGGTGGAAAAACCATCGCCATGTATATCCTAACTTAGCCACTATATTCATAAAATATTGTAGAATTGTAACAAAATCTTTTCCTTGTGAACACATGTTTAAAATCTGGTTTAATTTTAAATAAAAGAAGAACACGGTTAACAAGAAAAGTAGAAAAACTTGTTTTTAAATGTCAATTTAGACGATTCGCGATTTAATAATAACGTGTAATGTAAATGTAAGTACGATTTAATGTAAATGTAAGTACTATTTGTATTGTTTAATTTATTTTTCAAGTTATAATAAATATATCCTTCGTTAGGTTCTTTCACTTCAATACTTATACACATAAACGATAATAGCCAATATGTTTGTGTACTCGCTAATTTGAATCAACTAGTTACAGTTTACGAAAAACGGTTCCGATAAAAATTTAAAAAACGGGAGGACCCACCTCTAGTTTTTTAGGTATATTAGGATCGGAACCAGAGAATATGTAAAATATCTGTGATCGGAACTATTCGTCTCACTAATGGCCAATAGGTGTTAAAAATATTTGAGGAGGGGAGACCAAGGGGAAATATGATTGTTATCTTTGTCTATTCGCTGAAAATATGATTTTATATCTGCGTTAGATATCCTGTTAAATTTTACCATACCGACCATAAAATTTTTCCTACACTGTATGTGTCTTCCAAGTGGAGATTCTTTACGATCATGTAGTTTCTTCATTTATGTTTGTTAACTATCGGGATAAAGTGGCTGCCGATCCGAAAACGGTACCCAGTGGTATTCTTCTTGGCTATTGATTTAGTTCAATTAAGTGCAGTATCGATTGTTGGTGTTGGGTTGAGATGCTTTTACTGAGACGATCCGGTTGTCAATTAATATTTATTTTCTGCAGCTGTTCTTTGGAACATTAGTAAGCGCATGGAGGGTAGCTGTGGATATGCGTATGAGGGCAGAATTTATTGCCGACCTAGGTTAGCAAGTTTGTATGTAGAAAATAAGCTTTCAGACATTTATTTTAGTGATGGGTCTTATGCCAGTGAGGTTGTGAGTTAGGGCGGAAGGGTAGTAGTTCACCTTTCTACAGATTATACGTTTCTCGATTGGATGAGATAACTCGACTCTGTAATCGAAGGCGAAGGTAACAGAATGGAATCCACTGATTTTGTTTAACTTATTATTACTACTTTTCGTAGATCTGTCGTAACTGCATCCTTCCATGTTTTTCTTGGGCGACCAACTTACCTTCTTCCATCGCATCGGGCCTTTCGCAAAGTGTTGTATTGGACTCCTTTATCACTCGATCTTAGTACATGTCGCGTTATATTCTGTTTGTCTTAATGAGGCACACTAAGTCATCTCCATAGAGTGTCTGCAGGTCCTCTGGTTCAGCGTCTATGTCACGAGTGATTTCGACGGATGTACGTTTCACCTCTGAGAACATGGAGTATTTAAATTAGTATGCGTGAATTCCTCCATGCCTGTTGGCTTTTTCCTCTAGGAACGTTGATAACCCGAGTAACTCCCCTAATTCTTTTATTATAGGTGGTATATAGTATTATTTTTTAAATTCTTCTATTAACATTTTTCAATACAATTTTGTTTGTGATGGTATAATTTGCTTGCGCTGCTTCCTGAATTATATATTCTTAAATGATTTCTCTCTTTAGATTTCGAAAAATAATCAGTCTTCTTCTTTAAGTTCCATCTACTATCGAAGGTTGGAAATCATCATGGCTATGCAGACTCTGTTGACTGCCGCTCTAAAAAGTTCTGCACTACTGCATTAAAACCATTCGCTTAAGTTCTTAAGCAAGAATATTCTTTGTCTTCCCACATTTCACTTTCCCCGTATTTTGCTTTGCATAATAAATTGTAATAATGCGTATTTTTACCCTCTGATCACATGTCCTAAGTACTCAAGTTTTCGTCTTGTGATAGTTAATATTATTTCCGCCTCATTTCCTATCCTTCTAGTTACTTCCACGTTTGACATTCTTTGAATCCATGATATTCGTAGGATTCTTCTGTAACACGAAAATTCAAAGGCAACTTATTCAGATGGACTTGTTTTAGTGTCCACGCTTCTAAGCCATTAAGAAGAGTAGAGAACACGTAACATCGAAGCATTCTCAGGCGTAGTTCTAACCTTATATCTCGACAACAAAGAAACTTTTCAAGTTTAATGAATGGTGTACGTGCTATCTCAATACGTGTCTTAATTTCTTTGGTTTGGTCTACACCTGATGTTATCCATGTTCCCAAGTATTTCTAGTTATTAACACTCTCAATTGCAGAATCTTCAATAGTCAATTAGATATTTGAATGTGCAGATTTAGTCAAGATCATGCATTTAGTTTTCTTTAAATTTATCTTCAGTCCATACTCACGACAGCGTTCATTAAGGCGTTGCATTACGTTATGTAAATCATAGTTGTTTTCCGTCATTATTACTGTATCGTCTGCAAAACGTAAGTTATTCAAAACTTCTCCATTGATAGATATACCTTTTATTGAGTCTAAGAGCGCTTCTTTAAATACCGCTTCACTGTAGTATTTTGGGTGTACTGGCTGTCAACTCTTACCTTGGCAGTTTGATTCCAATATAAATTAGATATAATTTTCATATCACGACTGTCAATAGTTTTGCTTTTTAATATATCTACAAGCTTTTTATGTCGAACCTTATCAAATGCCTTTTCAAAGGTCGATTGCAGGCATTGTCTGGGGATTGTAGCAGTCTGATATATTAGATTAAAGAGTTCAACCATTACATCAATAACATCTTCATCAATGAGTTTTAATAATTCGATGGGTACATCATCTGATCCAGTAGCTTTACCCTCTTTTGTGTTTTTGATAGCATAGATGAATTCTTCTCATAATATTGGTGGTCCGGCATCCTCAGTGATTTCTAATGACAGTTCTTCTCTTTCATAATAATATATAATGTATAATAAGATAATCATTGTTCGTGGTCAAATTTCTGGATGATATTAAGCTTGTTGTACGATACTATAAAACGTATTTTACGCGTTTTCCATTTAAATTGTTATTAGTATTCCTTAAATTTTTTCACTAATTTTTATGTTAACCTGACAATCATTTGTAGGTGTGCAGCTGTTACCGGTACTTTAGAAGTACGTTTAATGGGATGTCAAGACCTTCTGGAGGAAGTACCTGGACGGCCTAAGAAAGAAACTGACGTTACTTCGAGCCCTATGGAATTTAGTTTTTTCAAAAAAACAAAAAGTTATAGCATCAAAGAAGAAGTTAGCGACGATATCATGGCGGTGTTAAAACTTGACAATACCACTGTAGGTCAGACGAGCTGGAGACCATGTTCGCAGCAGGCGTGGGATCAGAGGTTTTCGATCGAACTAGACAAATCCAGGGAATTGGAAATCAGTATTTATTGGAGGGATTACAGGTCGCTTTGTGCAGTGAAGTTTTTAAAGCTCGAGGATTTCATAGATGATGAAAGGCATGGAATGGCATTGCATTTGGAACCACAAGGATTACTTTTTGCAGAGGTAAAAAATTGCTTTCTACAAGAGTAGCTCAAAAGTAACACTCGCTATAAAATTAAATAAATGCATTGTGTATACACCATTCAATATCCAGTCTCTGTTAGCTACACGCCCTCTAACAATATATCCCTTACGCTCCCGAATGTAAACGATTTTGAATATTGAGTTAAAATTTTAGGATAATGTTAGTTTATACCTTAATAAGAAGTCAAATTTTTTGCATAATTTTCAAAGTGACATTTGACAGGATTCAAGGACTAGCACAATTGTGTCATAAAGTAGCACACAGATAACTTATAAATATGTAGTACAATTGTGATAATGAAACCAATTTGAGAAAAATGACACCAAATTTATTGAATAAACTTATTTGCAATGAAATTGAACAAAACAGTTTTTTTGTTACTTAAACAAAGATAAACATCACACTTACTACACCTTATTCTTGATCTACTTTGATAGGTTTCTAGACGACATGTGATTTTTCTAGACGATTTTTTTTATTTTCATGAACAGGCCAATGATCAAACTCATCATACCTTTTGTCACGACAGGGCATTTAAGCGTACTTAACCCTTTTGACACAGGATTCTTCTGTGTTATCTTCATTGTCTCTTTCTGGTCTTCTGGTTTTTGTTCCACAGATCAATAATTCACTCAAATTTAACCGAAATTGTAGCAGGTTCAAGATATCTTTTTTTTTGTATTTATTGTTTTTACAATCTTTCCGATATTCCATACAGCTGTTAACGATGGATAAATCAAATAAGTGTAGGATGGTTTTAAAAGTCCATTTACGAGTTTTAAAAAATGTTCTGTAACATTTAATCATTTGATCGCATACATCGACACCTCCCATCTTTTCATTATATATGTTTTAACTTTTGGTTAAACTGTTACAACTTTTGAACAAGTTACTTCGACATTTTTTTTCTTGTTTTTCCCATCTCTTGACGTTTTGTAAAGGTTTTACTCCAAAAGCCGTGGAAGCCATAATTACGGATTTATTATCTTTCCACTTTTCAAGCATACCTTCTTGTCACTTCTTACGTATTCTTCTTACCGACCTCTTTTCATTTCTTTGTCTTTTTTAAATACACATCCCTTTGTTCTGTTTGGCATAATTGTTCCCGTTCCTTCTATTTTCAGTTCAAGCAATTTATTAAATAATGACAAAGTTAAAAAATATCTATCAAAGAAGACGCAACTTTCCGGAGGCAAGGTTTCTACTAGGCGAAGAACGACCGACGTTTCTAAACCGAGTTCTTTATTTTTCAGCGGAGTCAGAGATGCCTGGTAAATTTCAAAATCAAGTTCTGGGCCACAAGATGTCACTAAAACAAAATTTTTTAGGCCAACAGGTCTCGGCTTATTGTCGATTTGGACATCGGCCCAAAAAGGGTATCATTTGTTCATCAATTGAAAATGACGTCCCACGTAATCCCTAAATTTCTAGACATATTTTTCTTCCTCTATCTATCATCGGCTGAATTTTCCAAAGGCGATTTTGTTGTTTTATCTCTTTAGTTACCGATCAATTATCTACAACGTGAAAGTTTGTTTGTAATTTGTAAAATCTGTCTCGATTCATTACATCAGCTATGATTGGTAGTCGGTATTTTACACTCCAGTAAAGGTGTATTCTGGGAAAACATCCCATGACTCATTTTATGCCTACGGAAGGTACATTTTTGCTCGTAGAAGGTTCAGGATTTTCGTCTTCGATATTATTTTCCTCATCAGACTCTTCATCGGCGATGTTTGGCTTAAAATAATCATCATCATAGTCGCTTTCAATCTCTAAATACATCCATCTATCAGTTCATACATTTTATCCAGATTAGCCGTAAGTTCGTCCAAGTTAACCTTTCTTGTATCTCCTGCCACAAAAAAAATAGCTGGTTCAGTCTGTTTTTTTTTTAGATTTTTACTGTGTTAACTCCCGAACCCCACAATTGTGTTCTAGCGCCAAAAGTAACTCATAAGAATATAACCTTTAATACATTTAATCCTTTTTGTACGAAACTTAGTGAAATTAAACCTATTTTAAGCAATAATACCCATCAAACTTGTTTTACACTGATTCTTAGTAATACATACTATCTTTGCCATTGTAGTACACACAAGTCTAAATTATTACGAAATACGTCCGTTCATACTCTAAGAACCGTCCGTCAAAGAATGAGAAGGGAGACGAACGGTACCGATTCACCGTGACTACTCGCACCTAGCACAGTCATGTCGTGCGGGAGCGATTCGTGAAAATTTGATTTTAAGCCTAAAACAGCATTTAGATTAGACTCACACAATTGTAGCATCATGGAGCGTAAAGGCCCGTTTTCACGCTACATCTTATTGTACGTTTTGTATGATAGGACAAATCCTATACAATAAAACGTGGCGTGTAAACAGCAAAACGTACGTCTTGTCGAATCGAAATGAAATCCAAATACGTTGTGTGTATACACTGGACAAAACGTACGTTTTGTCGTACGTTTTATATGACCGACAAAACGTACACTAAGACGTAGCGTGAAAACGGGCCTTAAGGGACTTAGTATAATTATAGATTTTTGTCAGACCCGTGCATGGTTCTATAAAACTAGTGTTCGGACATGGAATTTTCCATGACCGTGTGTATGTTCAGAATTGGTTTCTTTATCTTTATTTATTTGGTTCCAGTATTGTTTTCTGTTAACCCGGCGTCACATACGTGGATTTTTCTGTCATTAGTACATATGTGGGGTGTGACAAACCCCAATTTCTAAGAAAATCAGAATATTTTCTGGCAGTTTTTTTATGTTTTCTAATTTCATGATCTGAAGTGATCATCTAAGGACTATTTAAGCAAAAAAGAAATAATCAGAACACCTTTATTCAAAAGAAATTAAAAATAAACTAATAATAGGCAATTCTCCATAAGCAAAAACCACAATTTAACTGAACAATCTTACCAAAAAATATAAACACCATATGATCAAAAAACACAATAGTAAATGAAAATGTAATAGTAAGATAATACAAGGAAAAACTCTGCCGGTTGTACAGTGAAAGAAAAAAAATAATCGCTATTTGCATTCATGCAATTTTGACAACTTATGACAGCATGCTCCAGGCACAGTAATGATTCACAGTTTGAACAGAAATATTTAGTTTTTCGATCTCGGCTTCTTGAACATACTGAACATGAGTTTTGGAATCTTGGCAGGTGGCACAGCAGGGGCATCTTGGCCAAAATGTGCAATGTTTTGACGAATACTTTTTGATATTCTTGGATTATTTTTTCTTTTAGATATGTGGTTCTGGATCAATTCAAAGCCCAACATTTTTATGAACAATCTTCTGGCAAGTTTGAAATCTTGATTGTTTTCTCTATATATCACCAAAGCATTTATGGTGGCTGTATTCAAGAGAGAAAACACGATCGTAAGGGGCCATCTTAGTGAGTTTCTAGATACTGAGTTTCTTACTGTCTTACTGTGTTCCGTCTTTTCCCAGATACATTCTTCGTTTCTTGGAGGTTCCGTCTCATTCTGAAAATCTGTTTTTGATGTCTCCATGTCTAAATCTCCGTCAGAAACTACATCTTCTATTGCGATATCCTGCTCCGAGTCAGTGTTCTGGTTGCTTTCATAAATATGGTCAATATCGTCATCGCTTCTCGATTCGATGGCATCGTCATCAATTTCAGCCCATAGAGATTCAAGCTTTTTCTGTTCCGCTTCGTATGACATGATATTTTAGCTAAAAAATTAATCAATTGAATATGCAGATTCAAATAAGTCAAAAATAAAAACTTACTTATGTCAAAATTGCAAACGCGAGTACATAGGTGGGGTTTGACACACCCCAGAGCGTTTCAGGCGCGTGTAACTTCACTCACTGTCTACAATGTACTGAGGTAACGCCTGAATTCGATGGTGGGGACATTTTTGCGAAGCTATTGGGGTGGACGTACGCATAAGTCTGCGTTTGATTTATTTTAAAAGCGATATTTGGGAGCTGGGGTTTGTGAAACCCCACATATGTAGTGCCGGGTTAAATATGTCTTGAAGGGCTCTTAGGGGATAGGCGAGTGACCTTGTATAATACTTTGAATTTTTTATCTATCATTTATCCGTCTATATCGTGTTAGGGATAGCATTGTGTATTTATCTGATTAAAGAATCTATTGCAGCCTTTTTGATAATATATCTATCCCATTAATAGAAAAAAATAGAATTTGAAATGATGAAGCAAGACTGTTTAAGAATATTACGATTAGTGATAATATTCTTTTGTCTTTTATACTGATTTCTAATTTTTTTCTTCTATTTTATCGTATATCGAATCATTTTAAGCACATTCTACTTTGTAGAATTATAGCAATTGTATTGTATATGGTAATGAAGGGGAATAGTTTTTATTGTGTTTGTCTGATGATTTTTCCCTTATTTTAGTATACGTGTTAGTTTAGTATACGGGTTTGGTATAAGTGTTCTCTGAACCTGTCACTGAGGACGCTAGAATATATAAAGTCCTTCAAGTTATTAACGAAATTGATAAAGAATAAATATCAAGAGTTACTCATGAAAATCTGATTAAAAGAGTTCATAAATGATTGCATGTTGATGGGTAACATTTTGAATATTTATTATATTATTAAGTTAGTGAATATTTTCTTTGATAGCATCTTTTTAATTTTTCAATGTTTAACTTACAATATGAATGTTGTAAATTAACAAAACACAGTCTATGAAAAAAAAAAATTGTGACAAAAATGTATAAAGTTAAATTTATATGAAAACTGCAATAGATAGGTATAGGGCATACTAATACAGATCGATAGTGAAAAACATTTTTCTAAAATAATTAATTACATACAGGTTGTCCCATTTGAAAAAAAAGTAATTAGGCGAAAATTTAGGATGCTAATTTTGACCGCACCCTATATAATGAAAAGGCAACTTTACACTGTAAACGATAATGGTGTATCTGATTAATAAGTTCATAAGGAATTAAATTTTATTCAAATTACATTAAAGGATATTGAATTTTATATACATGGTAAAAAAGTGTAATTTTCGTATAAAAAACCATTACAACTCAAAAACAGTCCACAAAAGGTATAGGGAATTATTAACAAAAAATGTTAGGAATAACGAATATTTATGAAATTAAATATACAGGGTATCCCATTAAAAAAACGAGCTTAATAAGCAATTTATAGATATAACCGGAAGTAGCAAATATATGAATATATTTTCATTAAATAGGTCACTTTTCAAAACCGCCTGATTCCACTTTTCATGATTCAGTTACCTTCAGTTCTCGAGTTATTTCTAATTGAACGTTTATCTGCCGCACCCTGTATAATAGCAAGAACAATTTTGAGAAGGTATTCATCATGTATGTTGCCAGGTCCTTAGATTTATGTTTTTTGAACTATTATTTCAATACCACTACTACTAGTACTATTTCGAACTTTTTAAGTTATTAGGATATTACCCTATTTTAATCAGTTGGTGAAGTTTAAATTTAATTTTGTTTACTGTCATGTTTGTGGTGATAGTGTTTCAAATTTATAGTCAGTGGTAAAACTTACAAATAAAAAGTGAACTTATTACATTCATTTGAGAGTACGTCTGATTTGATAGGATAGAGTGGATGTGGAATCTGTTACATTGTACATAAGCAATATTATGGTGAATAAGATTTTGTAGATTTTATCAAGATCTAGTCTTAAAAGAATGGGCGAAATTGGTAAAAAATGGTTAATTTAGATATAAGGCACTATTACTAAATATAGAGAATGGTTTTGGCTATCATATAGTTAAAATAACAATACTAAATTATAGTTTATCAATATAGAAAAATAAGAATTTTTTCGCGTTTTACAGATTAAATTTTTGAACCCTATGATTTCGAAGAGGCCGAAATTACAGAGGCAAAAGAGGATTTTCAAACAAGTGATGCCTAGAGCCAAACAAATGAACATCAATATTGTGACATGGGGTAGATGGATGAAACAATCTTCTAGAATGCCTAGTCGACAGAATATTGTATTAAGTTCAACTGAAAATGTTACTGTAAGTATACAATTTAGTTCTATTTTATTTTTGTTATTAAATGACATTAGCTAGATCTACCTTACATCACAATCTCTTCTTTCTAGACCAGTTAGCAAATTTTTACTTAACTTAGCCGATTATAACTACTAAATCAGTTACACCTAATTTATTTTACGACAATTTTATACCAATTCAAATTTTTTAGTTATTTTAAGATGTCTAGAAGTTACATTGTCATTCTCTGCATATACAGGTTCTCATGCTAGTGAAGCCGTTAATGATTTTCACATCCAAATCCGTAGTAGATTATCATTGCAAATATACCAAGACATTTCTATTCCTTTCATTGGTACAATTATTGGTTTAAGTTATGGATGGATATTTAAGGTGGCATGGTTTCAGTACTTGTTGATACAGCAAAAGTTTAAATAAATTTTTCTATATTTTAACTTAATTTTTCTTGCTTTTTCTTCACATGTGGGGTCCATTTTAGTTTAGCATCCACTGTCATACCCTTGTATTTGGCTGTGCTACCATGAGAAATAATATGCCGATTAGTTTACATAGATCTTCTTTGACCACTTCTTTGTAGTAGTAATTTCTTTGGCCACTTCTTCATTCAATAATGGCGATCTGTATTTTTTTCGCCGGTACAATGTTATTGTACGTTATTTTATTGAATGTTATGCACAAATGAACAACATTTTACTGAAGAGTCGGCAGGTCACTACTATACAACGGATATAGAACTGGGACAAGGAATATTTTAAGGTTATGCTTCAATTCCTTTGTGTCAGACACATGCTAATAATTTATGTTTTAAGGATGATCTCGTTCTTGAGGATAAACCAGAAACACCGGGAGAAATTCCAGATCCACAAGTTGCTGGTTTAGGTGGGCAAAGGCCTCTCGGTTTACACATTGAATTGCCGCCACCGCCAGAACCAGTAATATTATCTCCTCCTTCGCCTTCTGTACCTCCTCCGGTGGCCAAGAAAAGAATGGCAGTCACACCGCCTCCAGTACCTCCTAGGCTTGATCCAGAGGTAAGATACTTAATACAAAATGAGTTTAATAACTTTATACTCAAAACAGTATTTGCGATGGCTTTTGTTTAGACAAAAATGTAATTTCATTATGAGATAATAATGAAGGTCAATAATTTATTAAAATACTTATTAGGTAATGTAATATACAGGCTTAGTAAAAAATGTGTCAAATCTAACTGTGTGTTCAGAAACAAAAAGTAATATTTTTTTACTTGAGCAATTTTTAACAATGTGTGGATGGCTCGTCGCTTCCCGCCTTTGTATTTCTGGGAGTTTTTTTATTGAAAAAATTAAAACAGTACGGTCTTAAGTTAGAAACAATATACGGCCTGTTTAAAAGGTTGCTCATCTGTAAAATTCGTTTAATTATTGGACACATTTTAACATTAGATGTAAATATTTGTCGAAGTTAATCAAAATAATAAAATATTGTTTATTATCAAATAAAGCGGCCCATAAATTGCGTTGTTGCTGACAGTTTTGTTCTACCAGCAAGTCTGTTGAAACAAAAATGTCGAACACGAGTTGCACACACTTCAGTTTTGTTTAGTAGTTTGTCCGAATATGAACGAATTTATTTGTGTGCAGTAGCGGCGGCGTTTGCCATAAAATCAAACAAAAAACGTAAACGAACTTCTTCTTAAGGTGCCGTGAATTTCTGCGTAGGCGTCCACCGTACATCGTCTTGTCAGGTGAGATGTTAAATATTCAGGATTAAATAATTCTGTTTTTAGCTGCATTGCGAATCATTTCATAGCTGTGGATTCCTGTCCATTGTCGAATATTGCGCAGCCATGACATTTTTTTACGTCCCAGACCTCTCCTACCCTCTATCTTCCCTTCGAGTATCAGTTACTGAAAAGTGTATCTTTCTCCTCGTAATATGTGCCCCAAGTATGCAGTCTTTTACTTTTTACATAACTAAAAAGTTCCCTATCCTCTAAGCCCGCTCTTCTGAGTACTTCCTCATTTCTGACCCTGTCCGTCCATGATATTCTAAGCATTCGACGCAGGCACCACATTTCAAACACTTCAAGTTTGTTAATGGAACTGGCCTTTAACGTCCATGCTTCCATTCCGTACAGGAGAACAGGCCACACGTAACACTTAAGCATCTTGTATCGGAGGTTCCAATTTGCGATCAGTCAGAAACTTACGAAGCCTCAAAAAAGCATTTCTGGCTTGTTCAACTCTGCTCTTTACTTCATTCTCGGGGTCCCAACCCTCGTTCAGCAAACAACCCAAGTATTTGAATTGCCTGACCTGTTCGATTTCTTCTCGTATACTAACAAAATGGAAAAAAAAATGACTCTTGATGAGAAACCAGTTTTCTTATGTAAACTTGTTGAAGGAATTAAAATTGGAACGTTATGATCGGTTTAATTATTTGAGAATGGTTTTGAAACATATTGCACCTTTTTAAAATTAGTAACTTCCCTGATCTTCAAACAAAACAAGCAATAAAGAAGAGCTATTGCACCTCATGAGTGACTTTACGATTCTCGCTACCGGCAGATGTTACGAGATTTAAAATTTTCGGTCAATTTAGATCATTTCACCTCAAGCTTTGGGTCAGGTTATACCAGAGTCCTGTACCGTAATTTATGCTGTATTAAATAAAGAATGTTTGAAGTTAAGGAAAACATTTGTTGTCTAAATTATTTTAACCGATTAATAAATAAATCGTCTGTTTGTAAGAAAAATTTCAACACCCCGTCCTCGAAAACGAAGCATTTGCGGACATATGTTGCGGACATAATGTAAAGCAAACTGTCATTATTTTTTTTATACAGAATTACCCTTAAAGTTTGACATACTTATTTTAAAACACCCTGTATTGATGAAAAACAAGGCTAGTTGTTACTAATAGTAACAATTAGCCGTGTTTTAATTAAAGTACCTAATTTTTTACTATCCAACAAAGCGAATGAATCAAAAACAAAATGTTATGAAAACGTGAGGCTATACTTGGGTTTTAATTTCAGTATTTTATAAATGAGAGAATATTCCACAGGTTCACGCGAACTTTGAGAAAAAATCACAGTTTGATTGGTACACTCGGTATACAATGACAATTTACCTGTCTAGCACCAATATTATTACAGCGATATTGTTAAAGAGTAAGGCTATAACATTTTTAAAAAATCACTTAAATCGGCCAACAGGTTTAGGAAATTCGAGCCATCATAAATGACCCATTTTTAAGATGGTGTGTTAATTTATTGGAGAAGTGTATTTGTCCGCTTACAGTTTGGAATAAAATAAAGTAAAAAGATAAAAGCCTTTAGTTTGTAAACAGCTTATTAACTGTAGGAAGAGGTATACTAAGTATTATTGTCATTGCCATAATAAGAATCAACGTCATTGTCTAAATTTGATACACTAGAACGTATGGTTTCGTTGTCCTTCAAAAATGACAGATCATCATGATACCACAGATTTACAGAACTCCCTTCTGTAACCTGCTCTTAATGAATCAATATTTTTCTTTATTGATCCTCTTGTTGCATCAGCATCAAGTTCTCTTAACTTTGCTAATAGACTTTCCATATGCTCTGTCTTTCTTAACTCGATCACTGTACTCGCGACTTTTAATCTTCCACACACACGGAAAACTACCATTGAGTTCTATAAATTCTAATAAAAGTGTTCTATTTTTTTGCGAAGATCCGTCATATTGAAACAATTTGTTGAAAAAGGTACACTTTAAATTTGAAATAAAAAATAAAAATAAAATAAAAAAAAAATAAATGAATGTGCCACTTATGGATAAATACTCGAATTGAGGTGCTTATCGAACAAGTTCGACAGGCATAATCAAGCTGAAACTTATTATTCCATCATTTGTGCACGCCAACAAAAACGACAATTTTCAAGCCACACACTTCCGTTTTGTGTCATTTTTGTTAGAACAGACTGGTTCTTCGAATAAAAACTGTCGAGTAATAACGCAGTTTGTGGGCCGCTTAATATATAATACCAAACGAACCAGTAGTTAACAATATGTATGGTAATATAACTCAACATGGAAAATATAAAAAATCTTGAACTATACCAGTACGATAACATTACATACAGTCGTCAGCAAATTATTGTAGAATTTATTATTATTGTAGATTATGCAGTTGTTTCTATTTGATGGGATTACTTACAAAAGCAGGTAGCAGATAAAATTATAAATAATAATAATATATAAATAATAAATATAGCAGTCCTTTGTTTTGGTCTATTTTTTTATGGTAGATATCTTTCGAAACTTACGACACCACTCAAATACAATTGACTTTTTAATATGCTTAAGATAAGGTTTTCTGCAATAATTTGTTGGCAACTATACATATAAAAAGATCTTATCTAAAATACACCGTTCACTTTCCTGCCAGGTACGATTTTAGTCAGAACTAAAATATTACCCAAACAATCTTCCCTATTTCCCAAAAGACATCTTTTTACATCATTGGCTTCTCTTACGATTTATCTTAATCATCATCATCCAGCCTTCATTTATCACGTCCACTGATGGACATAGGTCTCCCTTAAACTCCGTTCTTCACGATTTTGTGCTCTTTGTTGCCAATTTTTGGTGATACGCCTGATGTCATCAGTCCAACGTGTAGGTGGTCTTCCTCTACTACGTGAGTCATGCATTCTCGCTACATGGTCTGCCTAGTTCCATTTCAGTTCCGCTATGCATTCCAAGACATCAGAAATACTTGTTCTTCTTCGCAGATCTTCGTTTCTTATTCGGTCCTGCATCGTCACTCCCAGCATAGACCGTTCTGTTCTTCTCTGTGCCACTCTCAACTTCGAAGCCGTAGTCTTGGTTAGAGTCATAGTTTCCGCCCCATAGGTTTTCTTATTCTTTTTCTTCAGCCTGAATTCGTCCACTGCTTGCCCGCGACTTGTTTGATATCATCTGCCTACCTCTTCTGTGGTCTGCCTACTCCTCATCTGTTCTCTTGTGGTCTTCAGTTTGTTAATGTCTGTGTCTGTGCCCCATAGGTCATGACTGGTAATACGCATTGGTCAAATACTTTTCTTTTGAGGCTAATTGGTATGTTGGCCCTAAGTGTGTCTCGTAGTTTTCCAAAGGCTGTCCACGCTAAAGTAATTCGTCTTTGGATTTCGCAAGTTTAATTCTCTTTGTCAACCATTTTCCATCCACTCCTGAATGTAGGTCTCTCCCAATTGCTTCCATCTTTCTCTGTCTTGCGCCAATCTAATCCACTGTTTGCCTGCCACTGCTCTTATGTCATCTACCCATCTTTTTTGAGGTCTTCCCATGCTTCTTGTTGTCGTCCTTGGTCTCCATTCTAGAATTCTCTGTGTCCACCTGTTGTCATTATATCGGGCTACGTGACCTGCCCAGCGCCATTTCATTTTTGAAAATTTCTTCCACAATATCCCTATTCTTCGTTCTTCGTCTTATCTCGGTGTTTCTAATCTTGTCTCTTAGTGATATTCCAAGCATGATTCGTTCCATTGCTCTTTGCGTTGTTTCTAATTTTTTGGCAGATTTTTGGGTAAATGCTACTGTCTCCAAGCCGTAGGTACAAACTGGTAGTATGCATGTGTTATACACCTTTTTCTTTAAGTTTATAGGAATGGAGGTGTTTTTCAAGATATGTGCTAGTTTGCCGAAAGCGCCCCAAGCCAGTTGTGTTCTTTTAATTTCAGCATCTTGATTTGGTTTTCCTAGTTTGATAACATGACCTAGATATACATAATGTTCCACATTTTTTATGGTATGATTTTGTATTGTTATATTTGTCTGGTCTCGGCTCAGTATTTTTGTTTTGCTGTAATTCATTTTTAAGCCTACCGCTCCTGAAACTGCATTTAATTGTTGTGACATATCATTTAGCTCTTGGATATTATCGGGTATTAAAACTATGTCATCTGCGAATCTCAAGTGGTTTAAGTATGATCCGTCGACGTTGATACCCTTATTGTTCCATTCCAGTTTCTTAAAAATATCTTCTACAGCAAGGGTAAAT